AAGTTGCTGAGTAGAGTGCGGTAGCAGCACCCATGCTGAAGCCTCCAATACCAAGTTTAACTGTGTAAGACGTAGCAAATTGCTAATCAGAAAAAGGAATTAATACAAGGAGGACAAATAAGCCAACACTATGAGCCTGTGAGAAGTAGTTGACCAACTGAGCATTCACATTAGTATTCATCATCTTAGTGAATTGATTTTGAGACAAAGAATACAGAGGATATACCAGCTCTTTAAGCTATACCAGCTCTTTAAGCTATACTCCCTCCGTTTCAAAAAGATTATCTTAGTTTGACTTGGCACAAACTTTAATAAATAAGGGAAGACTTTTGAGATATGTTGTCTTAAATAAGTCATAACGTTTGTGTGGTTGTAAAACTTTTGAAACTTGTGGTTTGAAACCTACCATAACATTTATGTGGCTATAAATGCTTCTTATTCGGGAAATATTGAAAGGTGCAATCTTTTTTAAACAGACTAATAAGGAAATAGTGTCAATCTTTTTGAAACAAAGAGAGTAGTAGTTTATAATGAAGGATGGCGAAGAACTTACCGTCAGCTGGTTCAGTTGACAGTAAGTTCGCGATATGTGCAACTGAAGCCTCTAAGCCTTCAAGATCATCAGTAGTGTCATCAGAAAGTTCTCCCGCATCAAACCCTGGAATAAGATGCAGAGTCCCTTTTAAAATGGAAGTTATAAAGGTGACCGCGTCGTAGTTTTCAGGTAAATTCTTACATGCAGTGCAAGGAAAACCACCAAGCATAGCCACAGGACGAGTAGGAGCCGTTGGACATATCCATTTGATCTGCAAAGATCATATAGGGAACAATTATAGTCTAGGACAAGGAAGAATATACCTCAATTGAAAAGCAATATTGCAAGAATGCACCCTAACCACAAAGCAAAAAAGTTAGTTATCTGCATTCACCACTTACATTAGGAGTAGATAGGCTTTCCAAGAGTTGAGAAGAACTGCAAAAAGAAACAAGCAAAATTAGCAGACACTACAAAACATTGCTTGACTTATTTTTAGGTGCAACAACAACAATAATATAACTAGTGTAATCCGACAAGTGAGATGGGGAGGATAGCAGGTAGGACTGTTCAAAATCGAACTGAAACTGTTAACCGAACCGAACCGATAGCTTATTGGCTTATTGGTATCGGATTATCGGGGTAATGGATGGTGAACGAATTGAGATTTTATAATTATCAGCTTAACGGTTTAGGGGCGGATTACTCAATTTTCTTATCGGGTAAACCGTTAACCCGTTAAGACTTTATATTTACACTTTTACCCCTATATATATAAAGTACTATTGAAACCCTAAATGGCTAAATCCCTAATTTCTATTTTCTAATTCTCAATTGTCTGCAGCCATCAGAGGCAGAAAAGTCGTCAGTCTCGTCTCTCTCTTGAACTGAAAACTGAGAAGTCGAAAAATCGAAATCTCAATGATTAATACGTGTATGTCTGTACAAGTAGTTTTGATGGTATTAAAAATTTGGTTAATACGTGTATGACAGTATGAGTTGTCTTGAAGACTCTTCAATTAAAAAATACTGTTTGGTTAGATCTTAGATGGTATTAAAAATTTGGTATTGATTTGAAACTGTTTGGTATTGATTGAATGATTGTTCAAAAAATTTCTATTTGGTTTAGCCGATAAGCCGCCTGATAATTGTTAATCCGATATCAATCCGTCCGTTGTCTTATTGGATGACTAGCGGATTACTATATTTATAATCCGATAACCGTTAAGCCGAACCGTTAAGCGTAATTATCTGCACGATCCGTCTGATAAGCACCCCTAGTAGCAGGGGCGGAGCTAGCATGCGAGACGCGGGTTCGGCCGAACCCAGTAGCTTTGGTTCAAACTATGTATTTGTTTTAAGAAATCCATTAAATATGAACAAATTATCAATTTGGAACCCAGTAACTTAAACAGACAAATATCCCGAACCCATAAACTTCAAATCCTGGCTTCGCCTCTGAAGGGTAGTATGTACGAAGCCTTACCCTTACCTTGTGCAGGTAGAGAGGTTATTTCCGATAAACACTCGGCTCAATGCAAGCATGCATAGTCGCACTAGAATAGAGAAAGAAATGCTTGAATTTTCTTTAGGTAGAAAACTAAAAATGGTTGCTTTGCATTTTCTCCTTTATCCTAGTTAACCAAGAATCTTAACATAGAAGTAAGATAAAATAACATTTAACATTGAATGACTTCCTTATAGGATATGTCAAAACGTTGACATTCTGTTAACCAATTTTACTTCTCTTGCTTTGTCAATCATCCCACACTTCTTTTAGAAACTTTATTCCAACAGTTGGTACAGTGAACTCCACTAAGGGAACAGAATATCTGGCTAGTGAGTGATGCCATTATTTTTGTAGTTGCTTTTACATTTTGAAAGTGACACAAATGAAGGAAAGAAACAGGTTATTTGAAGGTTTCTCCAAAGGAAATCAAAGGCAATAAAGAAGTGCAGAAGACAGGAAATACACTAAAGTGATGTCTTATCTTGGGTACTTTATCCAATTCCTTTGCTTCAGATTAGAGAAAGTTTGGCTTAAGGAAGCACAACAATGTATAAATGTGACACTCTTTTTTTAAAATTTAACCATAGAATGTTCGGCTTAAAAGCAAAAAAGAACCTACCTTGAGCCATTATCACCAAGGCCGTGCAGCCAAATTATTGTAGCCTGGTGTTTTCCTTTAGGCCTCACCACATATGTCCTCCCAAACTCCAGAGTCCTCCTAGCCGTTCGACTTCCTGTAATATTGTTAACCAAGTTAAATTATTCCAGTGGCAAATGCTTAAAGGGAGAAAAATGTGTCCTAATCTCATTATAACTAGCACAATGTGAATGTAGCTTCACAAATTTAAAGCCAAAAAGCCTTAAGCTCTGTAGTTTCTTTCTCCTACAAATTGAAGTGACAAAGTATTGAATCTCAGTGGATAGTGATAGTAAGGCCAAAAGTCCTTAAACTAATTATAATACTTCTAAAGGATGACATAATGCAAAGTTTGGTGAAGAACATAAAAGAAAGAAAAACTTAAAAATTGCTACTAACCAGAGCCCATAGAAGGATTCATGTAACTCATATCTGCCTTCAGAAATGAAACACAGCCTTCACTATACTTTTGAAAGGCCACCTACAATAATGAACTGAGATGAGTTGAAGACAAGAGAATGTAATAATGCACTATTTATACACAAAAGGAGTAGGTACCAACTCGAATAAAACATGTGAATATGCAAAAATTACCAAGTATGTGAGAAACAGCTGCAAATTGTGCCTACTACCACCACCTAGAAACTGATAAAGAAATATGGAGGGTATCAATGAAAAGGAATGTAAAGCAAATGGAAAACAAAAGCATGCAATCTTTTCAACCGCGGAAAGAAGAGAATCAAAAGAAAAAACCAGCAAAATCACAATTCATCCGTCCATTTTCCCTAAAGAGAGTTCTAGTTTTTACAGAATGGAAAAGAATCTATGCCATAAGCACAACTACAGCTTCAAGAATATTACTGAAAATAAGAAAGAATAATACCAAGTTGGTATAAAAGAAAATATCTTTCTTTTCAATCATTTGTTTATGTATTTTGATGATTGATGGGTACCCATTAACTTTAAAAAGTGAAGTTCAATTGTCTAATTTATCATCATTACCACATTGTTATACATTAAGAATCACATAAATGATCAAGAATTTGAACAAGTGAGCATATATTGCTATTAGCTCACCAACTTGGAAATTCTTTAGGTGGAAGCTAAGGGACAAACATATGAAAAAGCAAGTGAACTTTATACTCTCTCATTATCATTTTCTTGATTTGCCACCTATTTTGGCTATTTTAGTCCCTCAAAGTCTTATTCTTGTGGGTACATATGGTTGCCTCAAGTCTCAAAGTCATCATAAGGTTTTGTTCGTTTGTACATATGAGTGCATGGACCGAACAATTATCTGTCTTGTAGCAGATTCAAAATTTGTAATTCATGAGTTTGAAAGGTAGCCTTGGAAGGAACGACAAAGTTTTCTGTATGATTTATAAGTTACGGATTCGAACTATGTAAGCAGCTACGGGTAAGCTGTTTACAACAGAAGAGTTAGCAAAGGTAACAACCCGATTTAGCCAGGGGTAGAGTTAGCCTTTCGGCTACGGGTTCGGCCAAACCAAGTAGTTTTGGTCTACACCGTGTCTTATCTTAAGAAATCCATTAAATATGTACAAATTATTAATTTAGAACACAGTGACTTACAAAATTAGAATCCCGGACTCAAACTTTAAATTCTGACTCCACCTTTTAATTTATTGCACTATAGACATAAAATCAATTTTTATTGAAAAAATAACACAATTTTAACTATATATCATAGAAAATATGTAATGCCAAAGCTAAATCCAATCCCTGAAACACAAGTTAACTATCAATACAAAGTTAATTATAGTTAACAATCTCGTTTAAGGATTGAAATTACAGCTTGATGGTTACCAGTGTTTTAAAAGACGGCACATAAGGCGGAGTATTTTATTTAATAATATGTGTTTACCCGAAAAATTGGATAGAGTTAAATTTGTGTATGGTTCTAAGGATATGTGATATAATTTGATACAAATCGTATAGAGAAATAGAAATTCGTGTATTCTTGACTATGAGAATGAGAATAGTGATAAGAAGAACGAATAAGATCAAGGAAAATAAATACAAGAGGATATCTTTCAATATGAGAAGAAAATATTTTGTTACGATCCCGCCCCTTGCTTACAATCCATCCCCCCTTAAAGTAGAGGGATCCTACTTTATATACAATAAAAAATACGTAGTGGAGAGCCCATGATGTATTATCTTTTCTTCGATTTCCGCCAAGATTCTCTCCCATAGTGCGGTTGCAACGACCCTTGTCTGCGAGCTCGATACTGGCTCGAGCTCGGTATTGGATCGAGCCCTCAGCCTTGGTCCGAGCTCGATTCTGACTTGGGGTTTCGGTATTCGGGGTGAGTGTTGATCGGTCTATGCATCTTCGATAATCTCCACTTTGCCTCGTAGTTCGATTTGGATATGAGCTCGATAATGATATCGATCTTGTCATTGATCGGTCTTAGAGCTCGAAGCTCGACGCCCTTACTTCGGACCTTGACCGAGCTTGTCATGCAGATATCCTTTGATCGAAACATTATCGTCTCGACCAGTCCATACGACTGACTCAAATCGATTTTGACCGTACACAGATAGTCCCCTCGTTTCTCGAAAAAGGATGTGGCGAGAAACGATATGATTTCCCAATAACTCGATTAGATATATACTGACGTTTTCATCGATCCCGACCATGACATATGTGATAACTGTCCCATCGGTTTGGTTTTACCAAGGCATTTAATGTGTCAGACGGTGGTCGGCCACCTCTGATATTGAACCATCATTGCTTCAATCTATAAATAGCCTTTCCTTCCACCATTCATCATTTTTACATCTTCAATCTTCCAAATTTGCCAAGTTCCTTTTCGTCTTTTTTGAGTTTTCTGCCTGTAAATCTGTGAGTTTTACTGCAAACTCTTCCTTAGAACACCAAATACTTCCGTTCTTTGTTTACGAAATTTTAAATGGCAAAAACGTCTAAAACTGTTCCGCAAAAAGAGACCGCTTCTTCATCTCGACCTGCTGGTGGCAAGGATGTGGAAGAGCCCCGCCCTGAGGAATTCGTTCCGGTTGGGTGTTCGACTGTAGGCGATTTTAAAATTGAAAAGCCTTCTCCAATACCAAGTCGGTGTGAGCCGATGTCGAGGTACCAATGTTCAATTACCGAAAAGGTTCTCGATAAAGTCATACAAGAATGCAACTGGGATAATAAACTCGTAGTAATCCCATCGCCCGATGAATCAATTACTACCCACGTCGAAGGGTTCTTAAGTGTTTATACTTATCCTTTCACGTTGGGACCCCTAGACCTTGTCATCGTTGCCTTTTGTAAGAGGTACGATGTGACCCTCGACCAAATCCACCCTTCCTTTTGGAGGATAGTGATTCTTCTTCGATTTTTCTCGAGAAAGGTCGAGGGGCGTATCTTCACCCTCGATCATCTTATGCGCCTTTACAGTCCCTGACTTTATCGAGAAGGGTTGATCAAGCTTGCTCGCCGAGCAACCAAAGCGCCATTCTCGAGCATAGACGAGACCCGGGATCGGGGTTGGATGGGCCGTTTTGTTCGAATCAAAACCTCGGACTTGATCCCTGCCGATGACTTGCCATTTCCCGAGAAATGGAATATGAGCCGTGAGAAAACGTTTCTCTTTGCCCGTTTTGATTTTGTGATTGCCTTCTATTTTGTTGATATATTTTTCCTTATCACAGCCGTAGCTCGAATGCCGGAACCGATCCCAGACCTTAGACAATAGGTCGAAAGTCTGGTGTTGTAGAGATCGTACTCCGAGCGTGCTTGGGTCGAATTATCAAAGGGTCGATGGGAGGCCCGCAATCATGGTA